TTGGTTTGGTTTTTGTCAGTAGAGTTTGGACGCGAACAATAGACGCTAGACAGAGTACATAGAGTATTCCTGTGTGGGAACTAGACTAGTACGAGCTGCAAGTTGGTAGGGGGAGAAAGGAAAAAAGAAAACAACCAGGCCAGTAACGCCGCATATTTAGATCAAGTTGGCCTTTAAGTCCTTTATTAGCTTAAAGCTGGTCAGGAGGATGGGAAGAAATGATAACAAGATCCTTTACTTGCCCACTAAATGTAACGTCACCAAACTCATGCGCACTGGGCCTGATTCGTAGAGGAGGTCAGAGGGTAGTCGAGTATTAAGTAAGGCGGTGACAGTTTCACAGGTAAGGAATTTGTCTACAGACTGAGAAAAAGCATGGTGATGCGTGATGCTTCGCGGCTCCTCAGGAAGGCCGTTGCAAATGCGAGCATAATAAACTAGAAAGAAGTAGCGGCGTAGGTTTGTAAGAGCTGGGGGACACATTAAGTGGTTGCAGGAGTTACGGAGTTTGTAGCGAGGTTGTGAGTTTACACTTGGTCTAGCCCCTGCCATAAAGGCGTTCTTATGCAGCAGACAGTGTAAGAGAGCCCGATTCAATTTTAACCGTCTAAGCCATAGTGGTTCGATGCCAAGGATTTGATAGCGGGGGCGGTAAGAGAGGAGGTTTGCCCGAGGAAAGAGCTTTTCGTAAATGAGCGTCGGACCTTTCGATTGTGAGTCTGCAACTTTGGGTGTAAAGGTGGATAATGCGGGACAGAATTACACGATTGATCGTACGCATAGCTTTAAGATTGCAACCATTGTCTGGAAGTTGATAGGAGCGCAGTATTGAAGAACTGGGCCTGCGTGTTCGGGCAACCTGAAACTGCACCTAGTGGGAAAAGCTAAAAGTACAGGAGCATCTGAGGCCGAGATCTTTGATTCCCGTGGAATAGGTGATAGGGTTTCCAGTAATTGTGAGTGTCAGCCGGGAGACAGCAGCGGCGGGAAGTCATACACGATTTTGTGGAGGAGATGCTTAGATCAGAGTGGTCTGACCAGCGAGTCAGTGAATCTAAGTTTTGCTTAATCTGGTGAAAAGCAAGGGCTTTGGCAGAGGTGGGGAATGTGTGCGCGATTTTTGTATCGTCCGCAAAGAGGAAAACCTTACCATGAGATATGGCGCCGAAGACGTCGTTGATGTACAGTAAGAAAAGTATGGGGCCTAGCACGTTTCCCTGGATGACTACGCTAGTGATCGGCAATGGAGATGATCGTATGTACCCGATTTGCGTTATTTGCCTCTTGTCTGAAAAAAAGGAGGCAAACCATTGAAATAAGGTTCCAGCGATGCCAACAGTACTAAGCTTGTGTAGCAGGGAGGCGTAGGGAACCTGGTCAAAGGCTTTTTGGATGTCCAGATAGACTGTTTCTGTCTCTTAAAATGTAAGCAGTTGGCTTGTTTATTTGGCGGCGCTTCATGTACTCTAACGGTAAACTTTTGTTTTTCTGGGCGAGGTCCAGTAACTTGGCCTGATTTTGTATGTTCCATTAGCGGGCTTTTGATTCACAACGGTTTCGTATCTTACGGCGTGCCGGTTTTCATGTATCCAGTAATGATTTTGCCAAAGAATATTTGAAACATCGTGCTTGGAAGATACTACATTCTCCTGAGTAGCTTTTGGTCCGTTCGACTGTGCATCGGTTTCTTTGAAGTGAACACTGCGTCAGCCTTGTGGACGTTCGGGATGATTGCTTTGAAGCATGTCTGAGTTCAGTTTGCTCAAGGAGGATACGTTCTTCAACAGCCTGCACAGCAAAAGTTTAGAATTCAAATTTTTGATTCCAAGGTTTTTGCCCCGTGGCATATGAATTCAAAGGTCAATGAAGCACTGATTAATAATTGAGTAACGAAGTGTCCTTCGTTGATAACCAAGTCCAGCTAAGGTGTTGGTTGGCTTGCGCAGTGCCTGGTGAATGCGATGATATATCGAGCCCGAGAGCTCTGTCCAACGATTTTGGTCAGTGCTAATGCGTAATATACAGATGATGTCCAGATGACCAGATGCGCTGGAACTCCGTCCAGAAGGCCTTGGGAGCGATAAACTCACTCACCAGCAAGAGTTGTATGAGGTGCAAGCTGGAGGTGTGTTGAACAAGGTTTTGTATGAGGAACAGATCACATTATTTGGACTCTCTCCGAGAGGAGAATGGATTCCGCGAAGGAGGAATTCAACCTACAATTGATTACAAAAGTGCAGTAGTGATTTTGGAGAGAACAATCAGGTTGGGGACGGCCACAAGTAAGTATAGGATGACCCCAAGTGCTGCCACCCGTTTTGGGTAAGCTCGGAAAATGAAGTGGCTGTCTGTCGTGATCCTCGCACCAGGGACCAGTGTTGTCGAGCAGGTTGCCAGAAGTACGATTATATACGGTTTGTTAGGGTTGGCTGATTGTCAAATACCGTGAGTTTTTAAAAGCCTCAAGCGATTTGTGGCGATCTGTGGCCATTTGTTTCTCCGACGTCCGAAGTTCTGGAGGAAGATGTGCCGACCCAGAGGTTAGCTAATTAAACAGTTCTACACCATATTCGAGTGATAGATTTGAACTGGATTCAGGGGTGTCCTAGTTTACCTCTTGCCTTAGTGTCTTGTTGGCAGGGAAAGGTTCTCACGTGGGTGCCTGATTTCCGCGTCGTTGTGTTTTTAAGTCTTCTAGGAATATAGTATTTTATGCCTGGTTAAAACCTTCGATGGCTCTCGCTTGTAGCTCACACGGACCATCTATTAATGCGTGAATCCTCTGTTGTTTAAACGTATGGGTCAAACGTATGTATATTTGGTTTATTAGACTTCCGGGCGCGGGTAAACCAGTCAAGTGTCTCTGTGAGGCCCTGTTTTGTTGCTTCTGCTTAAAATAGTGCCCTTAAGAGGTATCGCCTTCAGCGGCTTTACAAAAAAGTGCGCTTTTGCAGACTACTATACTTCAAATCCGCCAAGCAGCTCTCTAATCGGGTCAAGCTGAGTTGGCTTATTTGATCCCGGTCGATCACCCTTCGTTTTTTGTAGACGCAGGTCGTCCGTGATTAGCGTTGACAACAGGTTATACGTGGAATTTTCTGGTACATCGCTGTCGCATTTGTGGCTTTTCCACTCGGAGTCATGAGTTACGCCCTGATCCACCATCACTAAGGCAACTTATGGGGAAGTTGAGCTGGACACTCACAGTTTCTCAATTTTAATGATTGTAGGGTCACCGAAGCTGCTTCAACATATAGCTCAACGACGGTGGACATTGCCTCTTGCTTCCGCACAACCAACCAAATCTAGAATGAAACTTGTGACCCAAGATTTCAGTTCACCGATGCTCCAATACAGTATGCTGGGAGAATTAGAAGTGACAATTTCATGTGCTCGACGCTTCGTCTTCGCTAATATTATATCAACTGTAACATAACTGTCGTCGATAGTCGAGTTAAATTCGTCTGTGGAGAAAAACTGCAACCTGGAGTCCGGGTTGGTTGCATCGGTTTTATCTTTAAAGCACGAGAGTCTATGACTTCTATCGGACGTGCCATAAGTTCGGCTGATCTGTCGCGAAGCGGAAGTTTGCTTCGTCTCTCCCTTTTAATATAACTGTGGCTCAGTTTTCGCGCCTCTATGAGGCGAAACTCGGATATACGCTTAATCTTGAGGAAGGCTTGTTTAATACCACAAACCTGATCTCTAGACCGTTGTACGGCATTTGGAGCGGAAAGTACGACTAGAACTTCAGAGGCTCGCTTTCTTTCATGCTCTCTCTACCCTCCTGCGTGAAGTAATGCGTATTTAGATTTATTACGTTATCTCGAAGTAGCGACTATGCCAGTTTTGTTTGCGCGCTTGATCTTGAGAACTCCCTGATGATCAGTCCCCAAGGACTTGATTGCCGCGTTACAAAGGTGGATGAAATTCCTCGCAGCCGGAAACAGGAAGGGGGTAAGATAGGTACACGTTCAGACCGGAAAGTTCGTTATTGACCTTAATCAATTTTGCCAGAGTATACATGCGAGTATTTCCAGGGCTTTCAAAAGAAGTGTCAGTGTTTCAACGAGTGTTCCGATTCGAGTGGATAATTTGCGCTGGGCTTTCCAACCCAGAAAAGGGGGCCTTAGGTTTATTGTTGTCAGCTCTCTTGCTGTTTGTGGACTGCATAATAGCTCTAAGTTAATGGCGGCTGGTGCATACAAAATGGTCGGAGTCAGCGTTGGATAATATGGTAATCTGGTCAACTCGTGCCCTTAGAGCGCCGACATCCTTGATGATCACTTCATTCCACGTCTTACATTCGATGCAAATCTAATCTGTCAACGGCTGTTGTGGCGCACCGACACCGGAGAGCAGTCTATTGCAGTCTGACAACTGATTGAGAGTATGTGGGCGTACCCCACCGACACCGGAGAGCAGTCTATTGCAGCCTGACAATTGATTGAGAGTATGTGGGCGTACCACAAAATCGGAATACGGTCTCATAGAGCTTTCTACACATAGTGGAAACAACACGGATTAACTCAATAAACAGACTGAACGGAGGAAGACTTCGTTCGCCGGTTTGCAGAAGCAAAAAGAAGCAGTACATTACAAATGTACATGTGTCGCGATATTTCAAATGTCGTAGCGACTGAAACATGAGGCGGCCTGGTGCAGCACATTCAGTTGCCTGAGAACATCATAAACGAGAGATTCAGCTGGGGTCCAGGTGAGTCTCTCGAAAGAACCAAATTAGTTTGCAGATGAGTGCATATTCGCAAAAAGAAACCAATTTCGAAAGTGCCGCGTTTAAGTTTCCCTACCGCACTACAATTAGCCTTTTGCAAGCAACAACGACAAATAAATGGCAAACAAACGGAATTAAGGGGCATAAAGAGTGTTTTCGACACTTCTGCCGTAAATATGAGCTCTCGAGCACCACCGAACTTCAACGGAAACTGAACACATAAAATTTTTATTAAAATCGTAGAACAATGTAAATATGACCTTGAGGGGAATATGAATTTGGCTTGATGGACCCGACCAAGACGAAGGATTCGAAGATGATGGCTGTAAGCCCACCAGAAATGAAGCTGAACAACGTGCAACTTGTACCAGAACACCCAGAAAGCTTTGTTGGGGGTTCGACCTCATTTGATGCGTACCCACTGGAAAGTTCTTCCGATTTCCTAAGCAACGAGAATGGAGTGGTATTCATGCCACTCACCCCTACTGATTTGCCGCTTTCTTTTCAAAATATTCAACCGAGGATGCGACGCTCAACTCATTTCAGTGATCAAATCGCCCAGCAACCGATTTGCCATGGGTTCTTCTTCCCATACTCTTCAACAGAGAACGCCCCGGAGAGGACTTTTGATGCACAATCCATTATTCCTCAGACCTGCGCAACAGCGAGCATGCCAATTCAGAGCGATGAACAACATTTCTTGACAGCTTCACGAACAGCTGGCCTTCCTAATACTCCAGACAACGAACTGCAGTTACTGCTATTGCAAAAGCTTATCGCCCTCCAACTGGCTAGTCATCTATCCAGTGCAAATCCAAACGGACAAGAAATTGACGACTCCGCCCTTCCGTACAATCCACCATTAGAGGTTCCTCCGACATTTCCTCCGGACAATCTTACTGCAATCCCGCTCACTCAGCTAGAACAAAACATGTCTACGTACCTAATACCCGTTGAAGCAACACTTCATGACAATCGTGGGTTAGCACTACATGTCACACCAAGAAGTGACATCCCTGACGCTACTTCCAGTCCAGGTTTGAAAATGGAGTGTCCAACAGATCAGCTCGTATTGTATCCATATTCAACCAAACAGGCTCCTATCAGTAACCAGGACGCTTCTCCGGATACAGCGACATTTGATGGGCAGCAAGCTGCGCCTGCACAAACCCTAACAATGACCGATATTAAGAACTGTATTCGTAGAGGTTCGTTGGAACTTCCTTTGGATAATAACGATGAAATTGTCAATAGTATCAAGGGGCACAAAAAGCCAGGATTTGTTCTTCTTAGTATACGGCATGAAAAAGTGGCTTCTGAAGACAAAACATCTACGCAAACTACGCCTCTTAAGGCTGCAGCGGGAGTAAATTTTCGATTGCCAGATTTTCGCCACTCCAGTGAAAGACCTAGTACGTCTAGTGTGGCACAAGCTTCAAGACGCGCAAATAAGCGACGGCAAAGACTACTACGAGCTGATACTGACCCTCAGAGACGTTCCTTAAGGAAGACTCCACGACTAAACTCCAAAGTTTTGGACGACGTGCAACAGCCTTCAGGGGTTAGCGTTGAACAAGCCGCACTAACTACCATATCGCGCTTCCGTGTCAGCAGATTCGCGGACAAGAAACAAGTTTGGCTTGCTCCATCTGGAACTGGCTGCTTCACAGTGCATGACCTCTGGACAACGAAATTGCCCGATTACGTGATGAAAAAAATTAAACAGCTTGAAAAGGGGATTGAACACGATCAAGCAGATGCCTCAGTGACGGAAAAGAACTATTTTGATAGTGGTGCTGTGCCAAATACATGCTGCACAATGTGCCAATCCACACAACGTGAGTCTTCGCACTGTCCGTTTGTGAAGTGGATGAGAACTAATTGGAAGTATTTTCTCTGGCGCGTGTAGTTCACTGGTTCTTGCAAATTTTTAATGTCATAATTCGAAAGAATTGAACAGTGGGCTCAATAAGAGACGCTTAATTCAGGCTGGGAATAGTCCTCAAATATATATACATATATATCTACATACTACGAATTCCAGAGTTCTCTTGGTTCAAAACTTAGCACTAATAGTCGTTGGCTTCGGTTCATTCCACAGAGCTTAACAGATAATTTTGGCAGGGCGTGTCCAAAGTTCGTTCTCCCCTGATAGCCACTTTGCAGCAAGACTTTTGAAGCAGCCTGTAAAAGTGTTAGGGGTCAAAGTACGGGATATTGAAACATTCCAAAGATTGTGTGATAAAATCGACAGCTGTGTTTCCTACAGGATGCATCTCGCTGCAAAAGATGAAAAAATGCCGTGGATAAAATAAATAAAAAATAAACCATGACGAACTCTCGGTGGTAATAGCATTAGCAAGGATAGTAAAGCTTTGGTGAGCAAAGAAAGGAAGGATAAGATTACCGCAGGTTATTTTGTTCACTTGAAGTTGATTCATTATCCTTAATCACTTAAAGAACCTTTGAATGTACACGCCATCCTTTTAAATTTATCACAAGTGAAACAATAATCATCTGTTTTAAGTGGAATCACGAAGTTAGTTTATTTTTTGTTACATGGAGCTTCAATAGGTTTTTCTTCAACATGCTGAGGGAAACGTGCGTTGTACAAGCGGATATGATAATACAAATTCACTCACCTGAATGTCTCAGCGAAATCAGCACGAGTCGAATAAATACGTTGTGTATTAATCATTTTTACTATAACATAGACCACAAAATATTAACTTTCCAGAGAACAATGGTTTAAAAAATTTAGTGTTTCTCGCTGGCGGGCTTTTAGCTTAGCATTCTTGAATTTGTGACAGAACATGTTTCAGGTGACGCACTTTGGGCAGAACACTGTCACTGATTCATTCAGATAACCACTGCTCATTGTCATGTTTCAAGCTTTCCACCTAACATACCAAAACAATGTTTCGTTAGAAAAACATGCGTAGGATGTACGTATGCAAACATCTATAATACATGGCCTGTCAAACGTGCTGATGACTAAAATGGGATAGAATCGAACAGAGGATAGAAACTAGTTGGTAAAAATTGTATACATTTTTATTATGCACGGGTAAAGTACGAGAAAGTACGCGCTCAAATGAAGATGCCTCGTCGGATAGCACAAAATGTCATTGAAGTATCTACGCAAGGCAACAAGAGAACCCGTTTTACTATATAGCAGTTTTCTGTCTTTCTTTGAATTGAATCAAAGGCACGCTCGCTCAGGCATCTTTTGACATTCCAGTCACATAGTGTAAACCGTCCAATTTTGCGATACCTAAACCGGTAGGATTTAACTTTGTATGTGAATGAACGGCTAAATAATACTCATATAGGAACCTCATCCCAAAATTCTAGCGTTATTTTCAGTTTATACATAGCTTTGTTCCTAATCTGCAACTCATCTCTCCCGGATTAATGGAACGCAATTATTTTTGTTGAGTTTTCTCGGACGTTCGTCTGTGGCAAAAGATACAAGGGTAATTTGGTGGGCCTCAAAACATGGCTTCTCAGGATATGTAATTGGGACAAAGATGCCATACATGGAGGTAGAAATGTTTGCGAAAAATGGGGTTAAAGACCTGCGACCATAGCCTAATGATTTAGCAGTTGAAACTTTTCGCAAATAGTTCCGACTTGCCGAATCCACCAACCAGTGTACCTGCTGCTACCTATTTTGCATTGCCCAAATCAACCTACCCATATAGTTCAAAGTAGGCTTACTGCGGGTTCCTTGGACTATTTTCCTCAGTGGCCGCTATTGTACAATACACAAAACCAAGAGTGGTCTGCAGTGACGAGCTACACAACAGAAAGAGGTTTCATTGTAAGGTACTCACATCTCGTTGCAGCTTTTATGATAAACATATTCATCACAACATGCAAGTGGATATCTGTTTTTGACAAAAGTTGTCATTAGGGTTTGAATCAGTGAGTTGGAAGCGCCTACATTGTAGTGCATTATTTAACAGGATGTCAAAAGCCACAAAGTTAATTTTACATCCCAGCACAACTGCAATGGCTGCATTCCAAGCAGCATTCACCCATAGCTTACAGCATAGAAGTCATTTCTTTGCTTTGATTGTTACACATTGATGGTAATGATTTGGTTGCCTACTGCAGTATTGTATACTTCCGCCTATGACATACGCAATATACACTTTAAAATAGGTTTCCAAAGTCGATTTTCTGGCTCCTGCAACGTGGACACTTTCACCAATATATTGTAGACATTATACGGTTCTATAAAAACGGTGGTAACAGAAAACTGGATACTATCTTCAGGGAGTATCAAACAAAAATATATGATGTAATTTTGGTATTTTACTTTAGTTTATTAAGGTCACTGGCATATATGTAGTGCAGAATTGCTAGCAGGTACCTGTCAGCAAAGGCATACATATCTATTGATAATTACACGCGAAGGAAGTGTATATAGGATTTTACTAGACTGTAGCTTGTTTCTCAGAAGAGCACACTGCTTTTAAATCTCGTTGTTGGTATATCTGGTTGGGTACTTTTAATATACATAAGGATATGGTACATACAACTGATTGTATTCATTACAGGACAGCAATGGATGTAATACGATATCTTCAGTGGTGCGCCTGTCTAATCATGCGGAAAAACTAAACTTTTATGCAGTGATAGGATGTCTGAAAATAGCGTTTTTTATTAAGGATATGTGTGAGCGGATTCAAGAGTCATTTCAAAAGAAGTGTAATTCTCTGTAATCATCCTCTATGGATAAAATGTTTGCTTTTGTGTCTGCCTTATCTGATACCGTAACTACACATTTAATCAACGACAGCAACACAAGACCTCTTCATAGAATGAATGGATTTTATTCTGGTTAGTGATCGATGGCATTTCAATTTTACATCATAAGTTATGTAGGAAGATTGAAGATCAAACTCTTAGTTTTAACTTTTATGTGGGGAAAAATAATACTGCTAGGCCAACGAGAATCACTTCTAGTGTTGGAAAAAATGTTTTATTGGACAGAGGGGCGCTTTCGCCATGCTTGCAGTTTAATATGAGCAACCTCAGCCTACTTTTTCCTTTCATTCTCAGATATGGTCCTTCCCCCTAAAGTACTTGCGCTGCCTTCACGGGTTTTGTAAATTAGTATTTTGGGTTGCCAACCTATAGCTTACCATTAAGAAATGGCCATTACAGACATGACCGAGGAGACATAATCGACTAAATGGATGAAGAACGTGTGGGTTGCATGTGGCCACTTTTTAAGATGGATTCTACCGGTATATTTGGATCATCTACCTCAGCGGGTAGTATACCAGGTATTGCAGTGTTAACACAATTAAGATACAGGCACCGAAGTACACTTTCGTAGTACACTTCGTAGTTTTCGTCCTACTTCAGTGAGTAAGCACCCTTCTTAGTTGGTTATTGAAGTAATCGGAAACTGTAACTTACAGTGAACGAAAAAGTTTGCTGCGTCTTTTTTGTCGCTCCTCTTGATCACCCCTTCCCAGGTACAATGATCGAGCTATTCAAAGCGGTTGCAAGAAACCAGCTATTCCACTGGTCAACATCAATTTCGAGTTTCTGTTCCCGGGAAAAAACAAGCCCGTTTGGCCGAAATGTTGCGTCCAAGTTTTTTTTCTTGAGGTTGATTGCACGTACGTACTTAGAGTCGTTGGAAGTAAGGCTTAGTTTGGGTTCACAATTCAAGTCACTGTATGTACGATTTGATGCACACTTCTGCACAGCTCAATCATTTTACTTTTTTGCTAAAATGCTCTTAGTAGGAAAAGAGCATTTTCCTATCGGGAGCATATGCAAGTGCAATGTTAACTGTAGTGTTGCCTTGTGCCGATCTCGTTCAGAAGGTGAGGCTCGTGTTCTGCTCTACATTAGGTCTGCGGGATACGCAGCGGCAGTTCTTGATGATTCAGCGCCGTTAGTGCACAGTTCAGGTCAGTAAGCGATAAGTTTGTGAAATTGTGTAAAACGGCTGCATGTAGGTTGTTTCCTAAGCCACACGGTTTGAAACTCAGACTGTTTCTGTGGAGTTTTATGAAGATACATTCAGAATTCGAACATAGCAGCACTACCTCTGGGTAATTTACAACCAGATATCTAAGCAAACAACCTCGGTGGAACTTTTTATCTCAGATGTGGTTTATTTTGTCTAGTTTGGAAAAATGCATTTGGTGTTCCTGACTTAAATGAGCGTGCCTTCCTGACGGCCATAGGAAGTCTCTTATAAAAAGTGCCACTGCCACCAAAATGATTTCCATAATATACCTTTTGGAATTAATGGGCTGTTCAAGCAGTTTGCACTCTCTAGGACTGTAAAATCCGTTTGAATTTTCTAAAATAAATTTCTTGGTCTATTTAACAAAAAAGTACGATGGGCAAAAACATAACAGACATTTGAAATGATCTTTTGCCATGAATGAATGAATGAATGACGGACTTAAGATGTGTAGTTCTGTCGAGTCTTAACTAGACCAATTCATTGATGACTAATGTCGAGGATATTTCATAAAATCAGTTCGTGACGTTGCAAAGCATCCATTTTATGTACTCCTTTCCTCGTCACTAGACAAATCCTATACACTGATCCACCTCGAGACTACAGCGAATAGTTTATATATATATATATATGTATATGTATATATATATCGAAAAATAAAAAGTAAAAGCATCCATCTGTAACATCCTTTCTGTGCCCCATGGCCATCCCACCCGAAGGCAGCACGAGGGCTGGGTTACTGTCAGGTTGATCAGGCCTAGACATGGGAAGTCGAGAGGCAGATGTCGGTTTTGAACCACGAACCTCCGGTTCAGTAAATTTGCGCTCTAACCACTGGGCTATCTCCCCCATACATACATATATATATA